ACCTTTATGGTAGGCGGGGTCCAGATCCTCAATGTCGTCCATCTCCTCGTCCTCAATGCACTCTTCCAGAAGAGTCTTCCCACACTCATTTAGGCGTTTTTCCCCTTCTAGCACCACCGATTTGAGGGTATTAATCGGGGTTGTCTTCGCCTTCTTGGCCTTCTTAGCACCCGGTGCAGTGTTGATATCGGTCCTAAAAAGGGGTCCACCTTCGCGGTTAGGATCCCTATCAGCGATCATCACCGAACAGTCCGATTTAAAGTGTCCACTCTTGAGGCAGTAAAAACACCTTTTTCCACCCTCACCTGCACCGCTTTTTCTCTTGACCCCGACATTGTTGACAGGAATCGCTTGGGTTTTATCCATTAAACCCACTTCTTTCTTGGATCGGTCACCAAAGGTCTTGCGTAAGTCCACTTCGACCCTATCCACCGTGAAGTCCTCTTTCTTCATGGAGATCGCTGAAGCCCAAAATTTACTTGGGAGTTGTGACAGGACTTCAATGCACAGCCAAGACTCGGTCACCACGTCCTGGCCGAGCAGCTTCCGAGACTTTCTATTAATCTCGTTCTTTGCCTTCTTAGGTTGCGCGAAAAGTGTCCTTAAGTCACGCCAAGGGCTACGCAACACCTTTGACCAGGCCCGGGTCAGCTCAATCAGGCCCGCAGCGTCACCTTGGCCGAAGTCCTTCTCGAGGAGTCGAATGACTTCACATGGGTCCATGGAGGACACCACATCGGGAAGGGTAGAGAGAAAGAAGTTTGGAAGGACCTGATTGAGCAGGTTTTGTAAGTCGCCCCTTCCTCTCATCCAGTGCATCACGTCCCACCGCGCCGAGAGCGCCTCTTGCTCGTCCATTTTGGTGGTCGGTGGTGCTGGCTTCTTAGGATTGTCCCGCAGGAAGTCGGCCATGAGCACCTTCGCTTCAGGCTGTTCCTTCTCTAACAGCTTCGTTTGGTACTGATGGTCCAACTGATTGACGTAAGTCAACAGCTTGTCCTTCCACATAGTGTAGGACTTACCATTAAATTTCTCGAGGCCACCACCAGTCTTAGCAATAGCAGCCATTGAGAAGTACTTGAAATGTTGCTTACACACGTAGTTGGTAGTTGCCGTCAGTTTTGGATATGAGGTGGCATCACATGACCACCTCTCCACCACATCCCTCGGCTTACCTTAAGTTGGGTGGACGCTGGCCTCTTTCCTTCAGCCATTTCCCTTATTGACATTTATCCAATCAAATAGACTATTTGATTGCCTTTTAACCTATCATATTGCACAAAACGAGTATACAAACTCAAAGGTATTGCGTCGCAACAGTTCTGCCTTACAGAACAGCAAGTGCGAGCTATTTGATGCCAACCGGTCGGATCGATAGCAAATACCTGTCGTGACAAGGCTCGCAACAGCGACAAATTTGGCTTATTGAGGTTAATCCACACCAGTACCGGTAGCATGCGGGTGCTGCCTCGATGGGAAGGATGGAAAGTGGTTGGCTTCCAACTTGACACGCGCTGGCGCGTGCCGGCGGCAAGTCAGAAGTTGCTCTAGGTTACCTCTCTTCGCTTCGCCTACCTTTATCTATTATTTTAGTGCCAATTTGTCCCAAGTTCGAATTGGCAATCGAATTTGAGCGCGCAACTTGGACTTGGCGGCAGTCACTTATCATTCTCGTCGTGGTAGAGTGTGCTGAGCCACCGGAGTGGGTAGTCTTATGGCTTGAATTCGGTCGCTCTAAGCAGAGTGTTGTGGTCACACACAATGGCTAATTGCACTCATTAGAGAGATTTCGAAACCTGCAATTCTTGGTCCGTTCTCGGTTGACGTTCATGAAAAGTGCAGCATCGAGCACGAACCAGGAATTGTTATCAAGACAGTCTTAGGAATCTGGTTTTCTTAGGAATGTCATGTCCGGTTGGAGACCTCTCACAACCAATCTTTCACAGCCACCACCAGTATGGTGTCGTCGGAGACTGCGTTGCTGCAGTGGTACATCGCCAAGAACAAGTACATGAGCCGCAAGAAGAAGCTTCGCTTCATGTTGCTGCTCGACCAAGTTGAGCGGCCTTCGATTCCTGCTGTGACGTTTGACCTCGCTAGCAACACCGATGCAAACAGCGAGCTTGAGTTTCGCTTCGATGTGGCTGGCGTCTACGAGCTACGGTCTCTGCTGCGCATCCCTGACACTGAAGTGACGGCACATGGCGACACTTGTTCCGGTGACACTGCCCTCTGCGTGATGCTAGCTCGCTTAGCGTTTCCAACGCGCTACTACGACACGATGAAGACGTTTGGAAGGGGTACAGCGTGGTTGTGTCGTGTATTCTTGCACATGATCGACTACGTGCACGACACGTTTGCGGACAAGCTGTTCATGGCTGAATCGATCGTTAGCGCCCGCATGGAGGAGTATTGCGAAGCCGTCGAGGGGAAAGGAGCTCCGACGGAGGGCGTATTTGGGTTCCCCGACGGCACCAAGGTGGCGGTTTGTCGTCCTTCACCTCGCCGTCATGGTGAAAGAGGTGAGAACCTGCAGAAGCATCTGTACAGCGGGCACAAGCGCATTCACTGCCTGAACTACCAAGTCGTGACGGCACCTGACGGACTTGTATCCATTTCTGGGGCCCCATGGAGGGACGCCGCCAAGACAGCACCATGCTGCGGGAAAGTGGTCTTTTAGAATACTTTGACGAACACCAAGACACGTTTGAGGGGAAGTTCCTTTATGGTGACCCTGCGTATGGAACGCGTAAGTACATCGTCAGTGGATATAAAGGAAATTCTGTAAGTGCCGACGAAAGTGACTGAACAGCGAGATGAGTCGTCTTCGTGAATCGGTGGAATGGCATTTAAAGTGTATGAAAACTCTGTGGTCGTACGTCGAATACAATAAGCAGCAAAAGGTTCGCTTGTCACCAGTCGGTAAGTTTGTTAAAGTTGCTATGCTCCTAACGAACTGCCACAACTGCTACTACGGAGGCAACCAAATCAGCCAGTACTTCGATCTGCCACCACCCAGCTTACAGGATTATCTGGGGTAGAAGGTGAAATTCCTGCGCTCGGTCAAGCACCACCTTCAGACCCAAGACACATCGCTCACTCCAACCCCTGCATCTTCGCCCACGTCACCGACCTCTCCTACAATTCCATCGAGCGCCGTTCCACCACGCGCCTTGAGCAGAGGTAGCTTTAGCAGGTTTTCGTAGCGTTCGTTTTCTAATCGAGCAAGACGAAGCTTAAATTCTCGCTCCTCTTTCCGGTCCTGAAGCTTCATTTCCTTATGCTTTCGCTGCAACTCTTGCTTCTGCTGAAATTGCTCAGCTCGCATTTGGCGCTCTTTTTCGTTGTCCTCACGCATCAGGTCGTAGATGGTTACCTTGCGCGGCGACGGCTTCTCAGACTCGCTCTCTTCACCTCTGTCCTTCCGCTTCTTCAGGCGCGATACAGCTTCCTCCCGCATTAGCTTACCAACGTTATCTTCTGACTCGAGCTTTTCCTTCAACTCCAGAGCCCGCTGCGCCTCTTCTCTAGCATGCTCATCTACAGCTAGCACTATCTCGTCCAGAAGCTGCTGCGACTCCGTGTAATCCTCCCGAAGCTGCCGCCGACTTTTTGTCGGCTTCTCGATGGTTTTCCACCAGTACATTGAACCGTGCCTGTGCCGACTTGCCAGTAATCTCCTGCTTGGAAAACCCCTGCACGACTTTCACCTTGTTGGCGAGAGACGTCCACGCATCCATAAGGCTACCTCGAACACTAGCAAAAGGCTGGTCTGCGTTAACTTGCCGGAGTAGTACTAGGTCGTCGTGCTTGCTGAATTTCTTTCTTTTTGTCCTCGATTTCGAGGAGGACACTGTTGTCGTGGCTGTTGAAGGTGCCTCAGTCGACTGGGCACTCTCCTTTGGAGGTTTACGAGATGTTGGCATCTTGGTGGGCTGGAGATCAAAAGCGAATGCTTCGAGCAGAACAACGGAGCTCGTGAAGGAGCACCACTCGTCATGGTTAGTGCCGGTTAACTGCTTTGGAACGGCGAAGATTACCTCAATTAGTTAATGCTTGAAGGCTTTTCGCAGAGTGGACTGAGATTTGTAGCGAAACCTCTTGCTTCGCATTCCTAGTCTTGGTCCATTCCCGTTTTACGAACGAGGACTCGGACCAAGATTGGCTCTCTTCAAAATCTCTCTATTCATTACGATGTAATGTTCACTAACTGCAAAGATATTATGTATTAATAGTATTTTTTAGTCTCAAGTTGAGACTTAAAATGGTTGAGACTCGCATTCTTATTTTGCTCTCAAGACTTACTAATAGCACACGTCTAAATCTTTTATTTTTCTTGGCTGTGTGACAGATATTAAGTTTTAAGGCCTTGGTGATGAGCTTCTTGTCATACTAATGCTAGGCGTATTCGACGAAACGGCATCAACCGACAGCACCAAAGTATCAGTTGAACAACTTCCTATCGCTACCGACGCTGGAAGTCTTTTGGTGTTGCGCGTTGCTTTTCAGCGCTTCATCAGCCTCGAATCTAAAGGTAGACGCACCAGTCAACCAAGCCCAAAATAACCAATGCCCTTCCAGACTGGAATCCGTCTACATAGAAAGTGAAGCCGATGCTTCTTGATATAAGCTCGTGGACAAGAACTGTTGCTACCCAGGTATCGCTCGTGGACACGTGGGGCAGATTTCACCATAGAAGTGTACTACAGTATAGTAAAGGACTTACCTGTTCTCTAGGTGTGTAGCGTAGGCTGTCCCTCCGACACAGCCAACAGGCGTAGGATCTTTTTGGAAAAGTGTGAGTTCTGACGACAGCTTCAACAAGCAGCGTTTAGCGCCGTCGCAACCAATCGATCCGGATGTGTGTCCTTGTCATGGGACGCCCGGATCAGATAGCGCCGATGACGAGAGCGATCTTGAAACGCCGCACGAAGAACATCATCACCAACGGTTAGCTCTTCATTTCTCTTTCCGAGCTACACGTATCGAGTCTGGCCGCCATGCTCAACGTGTCTAACCGAGTCACACGTGCGGCCAATGCGGTTGCTGCAGCCTCAGCTCGTCTCTCCATGACCGCCGAGTCGACCAAGGCGCTGTGGGACGGGCTTTCCAAGAAGATCGCGCAGATCTCCGAACGGGAGCCGCTCAAGCCTGCAACCGAGCGCACCCCATTGCTGCACTTCGACGCCTCTGTGGTCCCCAGCAACGGCGTCGAAGACGAGGAGTCCACCTTGAGAAAATGCATCAAACCTTCTCACAGCAGCGAGTGTCAAGCGCTATTCCGTCTGGCTTTTCAGATGTTACTATTTGGTATCGTGGATTTCGCTCCCAACTTCCTCAGCGGCGTACTCACGGGCCACCTTAGCGCTTCGCACAGTAGCGAGTTCATGGCGGCCCGTAGTCTGGCACTTATCTTCAACATGGTCACTAGCACGACGCTGATCGCAGCCATGAGCGCTGCGATGGACACGCTCTGTGCTCAGGCCTATGGTGCTGGTCAATTACGAGAGCTGGGGCTGTTCTTTCAGACAGGGCTACTTGTCTTCTCTATCGGTTTCCCACCCGTAGCCCTCGCCAGTTTCTACTGCGTTGAGCTGCTAGAAATGGCGGGGCAACGACGTGAGCTTGCTCAGCTGGTGCGCAGCTTGGTGCTGTTAGCTCTGCCTGGAGTGCCCTTCGCAGCTGTCAACACGCTGATGTGCAAGATCCTGCAAGGTCAGAGTCGAGTGGAGCCCCTCGTGGGTGTCGGTCTCATGGCAAGTGTCGTCCAAGCTACGTTACTCTACGTCTTCATGTTCCAGACACCACTGGGCTTCACCGGGTCTGCATTAGCCATTTCAACGACTTTGGCTGTTTACGCTATTGTATTGGCTACGTATTTGTACCGCAGCGGTCTGTACCAACGTGAGTGGCCTGGCTGGCAGTTCTCTGAGGCAGTTCGTCTTATGCCCGAGTTCCTGCGCTTGGGTGTGTCTGGTATGGCCATGTTCGTGTGTGAAGTATGGGGTTTTGCTGCTGTAGGGCTCAGCTCGGGGATGCTGCCTCACGCTGCAGCAGTCGTTAGTGCAGACTCCAGTTACGCCAATCTGCGGTGGCTCGGAGCGCTCTGGTACGCCGCCATCTCGCTCGCGGGCTCGGTGAGGGTCGGTAATGCGCTTGGAGCGAACGATCCAGCGCGTGCTTGGCACACGACGAAGCTTGCTTTGGGTCTGAGCACAGCTTGCTCTCTCGTTGCGTCTGTAGCCATGTTATTGCTCCACGGTGTGTTGCCGTTCGCCTTCACAAGTGACGAGCGCGTGGTGTCCATTACGTCGAAGTTGTTGCTCGTGACCAGTCCGCTGCAGGTTTTTGCAGCAATCTCGTCCGTTTCCCAAGGTATTTTCCGTGGTTGTGGCTTGCAGGCACTTGGTGCAAAAGTCAACTTCGTCTGCTACATTCTGCTGGCTGTACCGGTTGGATTGCTCTTAGCATTTCCACTTGAAATGGGGCTGCTAGGACTGTGGCTTGGCCTCAATGTCGGTTTTATCGCAAGCGGACTCTTCAGTTGGCGCTCCGAGCTGACTGGGCAATGCTGGCGTACCAGGCGCTAAAACGAACGACATGTGCAGCCCCAGGCGAGGCTTGCTACGATGAAATTAGAGACCCGTCACCGTTGGCAGCTCGAGATGCCACAAACTTGCATGAACCAATGCATGAGCCCACACTGTACGCTGATGACCTTGAACCTTCAACAAGACTAAAGTGAACTCGATAACTTACACAATGAAATGGATGTTTTACAAAATCTGGTTCAACACTTAAAATTGAGTTGAGGACACATCTTCGACCTACGAACTTAGCGAGGTTCCGTGTTGAGAATTCTACGCAGCGACGGCATCATTGTTGGTATGGCGAGTGCCGTGCTTCGCGTCATGGGCCATTTTCTCCCAGCTCGTGGCACGCAACCATAAACCCCCAGCCACGGCAAAGATAACGGTTCCCGCCATGTTGCCTGCCCACAGACCCGCAATACCCGCATCAAACTGAATCGCGAACACCAATCCAAGTGGCACACCCAGCACGAACAAGCACACAAAATTCAGTTGCGCACACAGCAACTGCTTTCCACAAGCACGGAAAACGGATTGCATTCCAAACGCAAAACCCAGAAGAGGCAACATAGGCAGCAACTCCTTAATAAGATCCGTTGCCACGGCTGTAGCTTCGACATTGGGCGTGAATGCACCAGCGTACGGAGCCGCAATGTAGGCGACAATTCCAGCAGCAACCCCAGAAACGGATAAGGACGCACTCATCACGATGAAGCTGATGAGACGAGCACGACGAGCCTGACCCGCTCCTAGAGCATTGCCCATGCGGATGGCACCAGCGATGCAGATCCCTAGCAGCGGCATGAACGCGAGACCGATAACCGACACGAATATCCCGTTCGCTGCAATCATAACGTCTGCGTTGGGTAACATACCCGCGAGCAGCGAGATGAAGGAGAACCCGACCATTTGGAACGTCATCATAAGCACACTAGACACACCCAGGCGTCCAATGCCGGGAACTCGAGCCCAGGCTTCACTCCAGTCCCAGCCGGGCCACGCCTCGACAAATACGCGATTGCGCAGTACCACCGGAAGCACCATCGCAACCTTCAAGAACCAGCCGACAGGGCTCCCCAGCGCGACACCAATGTAGCCTAACGACGTGTGGAACGCCAAGAAGTAAGCCGCTATGGAGCTTATGATGAAGCTCCCAAGTGACGCTAACACAAATGGCATCACGATGTTTTGCGCCTGCAGTGCGCTCTTCATGACCGCGTACATTATGCAGGATGGTACCAAGAGCAAACTTGCGAGCAGCAATTGCCCCGCAACTTCAGAAATGGCGGGGTCCTGCCCCATAGCGACGAGCATCGGCTTGCCACTGCAAAGGACCAGTGTAACGAACGGCAAGCACACCAAGTACACAATAGTAGCGGCCTGTGTGATTCTCCAAAGCTCAACCATCTTCTTAGCTCCGAAGGCGTGTGAGCACATGGTGTCGATAGCTGAGGAGAGGCCCATGATGAGGCCTCCGATGATCATCATTTGTACGAGGCTGGACAGCTGATAGGCAGCCAGGATTTCAGTGCTACGAGCGACGTCCGTGTGGCCAATCATCACGCTCAGCGCCAGGTCTGGAAACATTTCGAGCATGACTGCCAGCATCATGGGGAAGGCTACAGCCAACAGCCGCTTGGTCTCCACGCTTACGATCTCCCAGGCTGTCAGCTGGTTATCGGCTGCCACCGCCATCTTCTCCTCCTCGTCCAAGATCACCTCCACTTTGTCGATTGCCGACAGAAGCGGCATGCGTTCGCCATCGAGCTTGGCGTCGAACGGAGCTCCTGGTCTTGGGCTTATACTTGCACGCCGCAATGCGATGAGGTGCTCCTCCTGGGGTCCGTCCACGTGGTGGAGTAGCTCGTCGTGAACAATACGCGGGATCTCCATTGCGATTACGAGTGATCGACCAGCTTGTTCCGCTGGACTCGGATTACAGACTGAGGTCTGCGGGAGATTTATTCATCTTGGTGTCAAGTTTGGGCAAGGTGCTGGGCCAGCACCTTGCCCAGACTTGTAAACAGCCAGCAGTGCCACTGCTGGCTGTTTTACAAGTCTATTTGTTGATGGACGATAGATCGTTCATGATTGGTTAAAAAAATATTTCTCTCGTCTCATTTGATTGGCTAAATGGTCGCGTCTCCTAATCAATCATCTCACCGCAGCACCCTGAGCATTGCCACTGCAGCCATGAGTCATGGGCCATGACTCCACTGGACTCCAGTGGAGTCCAGGTACATGTAGGACGCAAAGCTTTCCAGCGCTGCTGCTGCCAGCAGGCTGCTGGACCAGCAATGGACCACTGGCACGGTCGACGTACATGTACATGTACTGTACCGTGGCCGTCACGGCGTGACGTCACTGACGTGTGAGTCGGCTGACTCTGCTGAGTGATCATTCCCACTCTTTGAGATGAGGCACGTTGAAGGTGTCCATAAATTTCGCGATGAAGCTCGAGCGGGAAAGGCTGCGCACAGTGCACCAATGTTTGTCACCTAGACAATCGCCAACGTGGAGGGTCCACTATGCGGCGCATATTGCGCTACGACTCGTAGCGGGTTGGACTCCAGCTTCGTTGCTGCGTCATAGAAGATCGATCACCAATCATGCATGCATACTCCACTCATCAAAGCCTGCCAGGGCCCTCAGAAAGAATCCAACTGAAGCCAACACAAAACGAGGCACGCATTGTTTGCCGTCTTAATTGCCAACCCTTTAGTTTCACCCTCTCTTACGTGTTACATCTCCAACTTACAGCACCTTGTACGCAAGACTGCCCGGTTTGGGGGTCCCAACCGGCAGGGCCATCGGTGCGGCGGAGACAGGTGTCTCCTTCGCCCATTGCGGAGCGTCGGCGCCATGTTTCTTCCTCTTTTCTGCCGCAATAGCGCGGTGCAGGTGGTCAAGCCAACGGTCGAGATCTGCCTGCGTCTCGCTGGCCACCAGCAGCTTGCGTCCCACCTCCGTCGTGATCTCCAGACATAGCCTTTTCGTGCGCAAGGTCACCACGTGACAGACCGTGAAGCTGCGCAGGAGCGCCCCATTGTCGCTTTTAAAGTAGCACAGAGTGGGGCCATGCAAAGTGAAGTAGCGTCGCTTCCAGTTCTTGACGGTGCCGCCTTCCTTGCGCAGCCAGCCGCTGCACACAACCGGTTCTTCCATCTCCGCTGTCCCCAGACGCAGTGAGCGTCTCCCTGCTCCCGCCACAGCAGCCGCCACCGCCCTCGCTGCTGCTTCTGCTCGGTCGTTCGTCTTCTTGACCAGCTCGTCCTCACTTTGGCCAGTAGATTTCACCTCTCGTTGCGTATAGCTACGGTCGCTCGAAGCTGTGCTCACCGTCGACGACGCCTTGGACAATCCTCGCTTGAACGCGGTAGCAGCCGTCACCACAGTGCGCATAGTGTCCAGCTGTGCATCTTCCTCTGCGTCGTCGAAGTCGAACTGCGTGTCCTGCCTCAAGTCGCTTTCGATCGGCGCCGACAGCACAGCAGCTTGCAGCAGGCGATTCCAGGCCATCATTTCCATCTCATTGGACGCCACAACCTGCATGACTCGGCCATTCTGGAAGCGGACATCCAAGCAAAAGGGCCGCGCATGGCCAATCGTGACACTCTCCACGACGCCTCGTCCCAGAGCTGGGGCGTCTGGCGCACTCGCATACGAGAACTGCTTGCCATCGAGCTTAAAGAAGCGTCGTTTCCAGTTCTTAAAGTTCTGTCCCTTTTTCAGCAACCAGCCAGCTCCAGAGTCCGTCACACTTGAAGCTGTGTCTTCCGCTGCGCCAAGCGATAGTCTCTCCAGCGCACTGCGACGTTCCTCAGTGTTGTCACCTCCTGGAATGCAGTCGTTAAAGTGATCAAGCCACGAGCGGATTTCATCTGGAGATTCGGCAACGACCCGCAGCGTCCGTCCCGACGTAAGGATAAAGTCCAGACAGTTCGGATAAGAATCATTAGGAATGGCACTCTTCACGATGCCGTTACCACGCGGAGCCTCGCCAATTTGCTCGAAGTAGTAGAGTTTGTTGCCGTCAGCCATGAAGTAGCGACGTTTGAGCGAGCGAACGCGAGCGCCTTCTTTGCGTAGCCATCCGCATTTGCGATTCAGACCTGTCGTGGAAGCTCTGGGCGTTGTAGACGCTGAGTTGTTCCCAGTCCCGAGAGACGAGCGATAACTTCCACTAGAATCACGCAACAGCTGACCAGAATCATCTGCCTGCAGTGTATCGTCGTAGCCTTCCAAGTAGCCACCAGTGCCGCTAAGACTCGATCGAGTCCCACTGGCACCACTTTGACTCGACCGGGCACTGCGTGACGCTATGGGTGGTGGCACACAGGCACTGGATCCAGCACGACTAAGTGCGCGTGTCAGAAGATTGCTGCTACTTCCTCCCTTGGAGACCCCGGCCGACGCAGCATGAACTTCCTTCTCCAACGTCTTGGGATCTTTGTCCAACAGACTGCAGATAGCTTGGACCCATTTATCCACCGACGCCTGACTGTCTGCACTCACACACAGCACACGACCCGAGCTCAGCTGCACATACACGCTGTTGGATCCTGCCTCGCCCAGCTTCAAGCCCACCACTGTGCCTGCACCTTTGGGCACACTCTCCCCAGGTCCATCTTGATACTGCAGCTTAAACCCCTTCAGCTTAAAATACCGTCGCTGCCACTCCGTCGACCGCTGTCCTCTCTTGTAAAGCCATCCTTCACACAGAACACTCTCCTCGAATGTCTCGCCAAGGAACGGCGCGTCCTGTCCAGCGTATGGGTCGCCAAAGCACGGCCTCTTACCCGTCGCCTTGGCAAACGCATGATCCCACGCCTCAATGTCCGCAAAAGAATCCGCTGCGATCCGCAGAATCCGGTTATTATCCGAGTAAATGTCCAGCGCGAAGGGTCTCGACGGGTTAATATTAACCGCATTCACTCTGGTCTCACCCAACGGCTTCTCGGTAGGTTGCGCCCTGTACTGAATCGTCCTCTCAGTAAGTGTCATGTAGCGTCGCTTCCAAGTCTTAAAGTTCTGTCCTTCCTTGAGCAGCCAGCCTTTCATTGCCACGGCGCCACTCCCAGCTTCGCCTCTCTGATTACTTCCAGCCAAGGCCTCGTCCCTGGAAGCTTGTAGTGCCTCTGAGATCTTGCGGAACCACTCGTCGCTCTCCTCGTTCGAGTTTACCTGCATTTTGACTGCCTGGTTCTTGAGTTCTCCTCGGACTAAGAGCGCATTCGTGAATTCGGGCGTGAAATCGACGCCACTGATTCGAAGTCGCCCCTTCTCGTCGATTCCTTTGCCACTGGGCGAGCGCTCTGCGAAGTAGATGAGCTCTCGGCCCTTAAGCACAAAGTAGCGACGTTTCCTGCTCTTGATGATACTGCCTTGCTTGTAGCCCCAGCCCGAGTGGTCGCAGTACGAGCTGCGCACGACGCGCCCCACGGCGATCACATGCTTGGTGGCAGCCTGAAGCTGCAGCTGCGCTACGCGCTGGCGCGCCTCGAGGCTGCCACTGGACGTCGCGTTGGGCGCGAACATGGCGACGAGAGTGACGACGACAGTGACAGTTGCCAAGTGATTGAACCAGCTGGGAAGGAAGAAATATGCACCTACGCGATTGGACAAAACGAGACACATTCAGAAAAAATTGATTAAGTGCGATACGAGATGTGCTTTACTTTAGATTCTAAAGTTTAGAAGCGTAAATTGCGGGGTGTAATGTGGATGCGGTGGTAGGAATGAGGATCCAATAGTGACCAGCACAAGGCAAGAGCATCGCTCGCTGTCATCGCTTCACCCTTTGGCTCGGTATGTTGAAGAGGTGAGTGAATCCCATGTGCTGACCACAAGTCTTGATTAGGATGCTGGGTTTATAATCCTGAGTTGACAATGTGCGACGGAAACTCGAGCTACGGGTGGTTAGTAATCAGAAACAACATATTAACGTTAAAAAAGTAGCTCTTATGACTGTACTAAAAACACTTCTCATTGAGAAGATTTGGATCTCAGCTCATGTAATGTCAAATGCTCTTCCAGATAATCTCCGTCTCCATTAACCCACAGACACAACGCAAAAACTTACATTTGAGCACGTATTACATGTAATACACTAGCCGAGCGCCGCCGCTACGCGGCGGTAGCTTAGGTTTATTCAAGTCGTTTGCCAGTCCCGCCTCCGCTTCGCTTCGGGTGGATAATTATTCCAAAAACTATGAACCTCTCTGTGCCTAAATCGACTTCTTTAATTTCATAAATCTGGGTTTTATTTAGACCATTCGCTACAAATGCTAAGTTCCCAGTAAGCCGTGCAATTATTCCTGAGCCCCTAGCATCATACTTATTATGCTTAAAAAAGAATATTCTACTTGTAGTGATCATGACGCGGTGCACGGGAAGCTCTGGATTTAGTGTACTTTTATACTGGGAATACCGAATAGAATGAGGGATGGACGGCCCCAACGGATTAATTCCACGGTACTGCGTAGCGTAAAGTTTTACGAGCCTCCACAGTTCCCGAAGCTAGTGCAGAGTACGCAACATGCCGTCCACTTGCTGTCGTGACGCTCTGTCAGGCTATCAATCAACTGGATCGATATTCCAAGTCGACAGCGAACCGTATCGTGTCTGGTCTTACGCGAATTGCAGCAGCCTGTCGTGAGGATATCCACCCAATAGCGAATGAACTAATGGAGCCTCTGCTTCCTGCAATGCTAGACGGATCTCAATGGGGCAAGTTCCTGCGTCTTCGTACTGAAGCTATCGCCACTGTGCTCGTTGGTTGTGCTGAGAGTGATGACTTCCGGGTACGTGTGCTGTATTATGTGTCTTGAAATGGCTAAACTAACCAATGTTTTGCACTGTACCAGGTGGAAAATCATCCGTGGATCAGCGACTTCATCAGTTTCCTCCTGGATCCCGTGGTTTCGTCCGAGTCGCAATAATGCGCAGCTCGTCAACTGTCGTGCACTTGCGAGCGTGGTCCTCTTGGACTTGAAGCTGTTGAATACGCCGAAGCATCCCTTCCACTTCTTTCTTGCTAGTGGGAAGAAAACGAAACTAGAATAGTGACAGATGAGTGCCTGGGAACCCAGTGAATGTTGCGCTAGTATGGACCAACACTCCTTTAATGTGTATTGAGGCACACGCGACATCGCATTTCGTCTTGTAATGATTGCAGTATATTGTGATATAATATTAAGTTTCCGTGTGCTATCATTTCAAAATTCAGACCTCCAGTCAGATTGCCATAACAACTCTGGATTAAAATCCAGAGAACACAGTCTCTTTATTATTGTAGGATAAGCAATTATTTTCCAAACAGGAAAAATCTCTATCCTAGCCCTCACGAATTTTTGATCGATACGCCCAATCAATTCATTCAAAATTTGTGTTTGACCAATCACAGTCCATCCCTAAGCTATTCTAAGGCTCATTCTCAACCGGAAATATAGACCGCATGCGGACAAATAGAGTCTTCTAATTGGCTTACGGGGTAGGTGGTCGCATGCGACGAAGCTCATAAAAAGACGCTCATGCGGCAATTTGCCCGCATGCGCTAAACTTGCCGCACAGTAGAGTGTAGGGGTCGAGTGAACAATCAAAATGATTTGTGACTCACGATCTTATGGGGGTGTCTGCTTCAACCTTAAAAAGATCACTTCCTCTTTCGTTCGCGAGGTACACATTCGTTCACTACCATGTCTAGCTTACAACTACTACTTAAAGCTGAAGAAAACGAGTTTTTATTTGGTTTTACCTGTTCTCGCATCATTTTTGGTCAGCAATGATAACAGAAGCGATGAAATGCAGACAGTTCGTGATCGTATCAACTGGAATTCACATGCTGAGCGATTAGTTTTGGAAGGCGAATTCAAACAGTACTACAGAATGAGCTCTGAGGCTTTTGAACGTTTGCTGTTGAACGTAGGTGGAGCATTGGTCATGGACCCGTTGCAATCGGCACGACGGGCCCGTGGAAAGCCTCCAGTGTCACCTGCTAATATGCTACAAACCTGTATTTTGTGGCTCGCTGGAGGTAGCTACCATCATATTCGGGTTATTACAGGGACCAGTCGCGCTGGTTTCTATAGAATTGTACATGCTGTGCTACGCGCAATCAATACCTGCCAAAAGCTAGCTATCAAGTTTCCTACTAGTGATGACGAAATGGAGGTCACAGCAGCTGGATTTAGATCTGTCAGCACTGGTGGTGTCATGCCTGGTTGCATTGGAGCAATCGATGGTTAGCTTTGCCCGATTCGCGTTCCTCGGGCCAGCGAATGTGGGCGAGTAGTCTCTTTTTTTTCAAGCACTATCAAAGATATGGTCTTAATGTCCAAGCTTGTGCAGATTACATGTGCCGATTCACGGCCATGGCTTGCCGCTCTCCGGGTGGTCGTAATGATTCTATTGCTTTCCTGCAGTGGTCTCTCAGTCAAGTTCTTTGGAGGTTACAAGGTCCTTACTTTGTTGTCGCCGATAATGCATACTCTCAATCTAGAGTGGTCATGACGCCTTTTACCCAAGCCCAATTGAAGGGCCATCCTGAGCGCGACAACTACAATTTTTATTTGAGCCAATGTCGAATCGGGATAGAGATGGCCTTTGGGTTACTCGTCAACAAGTGGAGGGTTTTGAAAAGGCCACTTTGTGTAAAGCTGTCTAATGCGTCGCATGTAATTCATGCTTGCATGCGGCTTCACAATATTTGCATCGATCAAAACTCAATTGAAAATCCTGATACTGTGTCGCGTGAAATTATTGCGATGCGAAGAGACCTGCGCTCATGGAACGGCTCGAGAGACCTTAATTACTTCAATACTCAGTACGAAACGGAAGACGGCGACCTCATTGAGCTTCTAGATGCGGTATCACGAGATATATTAGTCCAGCATATAGAAGAGCTATTTATTTACATCGTCCTGGTCGCAACATTCGGCGTAGAATGCAAATGGATAGCAACAAGTAATAGTATAATCAAATGAATATGTATCTGCTCAGCTTTCCAAGATATGTGTCTGCTCATCTTTCCAAGACATGAACTAATTCTCGTCGCCCTTTAAATCATCAATTAGCGACTGTCTTTGAAGAAGAAGAAGGGCTCTATCCTCTTTAAGCCTCGCCAGTGTGGCTTCGCCTGCATTTGCCATCTCTGTGTCAAGCTCTGACAGCTGATGGCGAATATCCCGAAGCATTTTCAAAATGCAAGACTTTTCTTGTAGATGTGTGGAGGCCGAAGTGCCGGCACGCTCAGCTTCCACCCGACGATCCTTCACATACTCTACAAACGCCCCGGCAAAAACCTCCAGGTGCTCGCTATTCCCACGTTCCCCTTTAGACGGTGTAGATTTGGCGGCCGGTGATTTGAACACAGCTTCTCCGTTGTCATCCAGGGTATCGTACTCGTCTGTGGACAGGAGTCCACCATTTGCAAAGTTTCTAAGTTCTGGTTTCAGCTAAAGCACTCGTTAAGCATACACATACCGTATTTGAGATCTCCTACTTCAGAGTGATCTCCTAATTCAGACTGCCCTCCAACCAATCACATATCGAGAATGGAACAGCGCACAAGTCTAGATCTCCTAATTCAGAGTACAAAAAACATGCTAAACTGTAACTATCCACCAGCTCATTGCAAGAAATTCGCAATGGTGCGCACTCCCTTCACGCTCGGCCAACCGAAAGGGAGAACCCGTAGTTCTGGCACTGGCAAGCCTCCCAAGAAGTTCAAGCGCGTTGCCATTTCATACGCCTACAAGCTTTCGGTTGTGGAGTTTGGCAGCGCAAAACGGTTAGAAGCGGATTTAAGAAAGCAAAAATGGTACCCATTGAGCCTACTGAAAACTTAGAGGCTGGAACGGAGCTTTCCGACAGTGAACCTGATTGGGAGCTGCTACGACGGTTGCTGGAAGAAGTGCCCGTAGTGCGCCATGCTGTGGGTACGCGTCACGACATAGAAAACTTCGTAGTTCCCGAAGAAGAACTTGATAGCTAAATTGTTTTGTAACAATAATACGTGATAGAGATGCGTCGGTACGTGTACAGATCTTGTGTATTTTGCAACAATACAACTTCAAAAATATTGGGTCTGAAGTAGGCGATCTCAAATACGATATACACAATCACAGTTTTAACACTTACGTTAAGACATTTCTGCAAGAACAGTACGTATCCACAACCATTGACGAAATTGCGGAACTCGTTTTCGTGCTGCCCCGACGTCGTGAACTTCCTCTCGGCAATAATGTAGAGTTTGTCGACCTCTTTCCACATCTCATAGAGTTTCTTTGCTGAATGTGGCTTGAATGTAGATGTGTCAATGCCTAGAAAGAGATCGTCCTCAGCTACCAATTGATGTAATGCGTGGTCTTCAGGGTACGTATGCATAAAAGCAGACCGAACGTAACCAGAAACTGCTTTTGTCGTTCACAGATCTTGTGTCCAGGTCATCACGAGGAGGTTTATTCCCAGACTCGCTGAATCGAGCGGCAAGGTCGTCAGAAAACAGAATATTGAGTAGGCGATACATGCAGTGTTTA